ATATTTTTAGTTCTTTCGATGTCATTTTTAACCTCTGCATGGAGCACTTTTTGGTTTTTTGTCAACTTTACAAAATTATTACTTATAAATTTCCAAGGGGCCATTATGACGTACAGGCCAGGTGGCAATCGCCACCCGCCTCCGCGGGCCAGTCCGCCCCTGTTTCTAGTCCATAACTTTTGATTGAGACGTCCGATCGAAAAAGTACGAATTGTTTTAGATTCTACGCACCAAAATTAATAAGAAAAAGTGTTTTCCCGAGAAATTTTGGTGCAGTCGATTTTTGGTAAAAAAAGGAATTAAGGTTATACACTGCCTTTTTTTAAGCCCCGAAAAAAAAATTGTCTCAGATCGACCCGGAAAAAAAATTTTCTTATAGAATGTGGCCTGTAGAATCCATAATTTCAAACAGTTCCAAGATTGGGCTATTAGTTCAAAAGTTACAGCCCTTTGAATTTTCTTTCGAAATTGGTTTCTAGTCCATAACTTTTGATTGAGAAGTCCGATCGAAAAAGTACGAATTGTTTTAGATTCTGCGCACCAAACTTAATAAGAAAAAGTGTTTTCCCGAGAAATTTTGGTGCAGTCGATTTTTGGTAAAAAAGGAAATTGTCTCAGATCGTCCGGGAAAGAACATTTTCTTATAGACTGTGGCCTGTAGAATCCATAATTTCAAACAGTTCCAAGATTGGGCTACTAATTCAAAAGTTAGAGCCCTTTGAATTTTCTTTCGAAATTGGTTTCTAGTCAGGGGCGGGCCAGGTGGAATTGCATAGGTTACGGGCCATTAAAGTATTAGTGTAGCAATGAAGGTGGCGGGGGGGTAGCTCTGCGGTGCACCACAAAAACATTTTTTGCTTCATTTTAAGGTACTCCTTTTTCGGAAATCAATTACCTTTAAATTGCAGCTGATAATTAAAAGTAACAAAATATACAATCCACACGAGGTGCGTCGCCTATCATTGTATTTCAGCACTTTCATGCTACGACAAAAAATGATAAATTCATTGTAAAACACTTCAATTAAAACAGAATTTTTTTACAACCTAATATCAACCCCAATTAGAGAAACGTGTTAATAATTTATTAATAGTGCAAGAAACTAAATACAGCACATACTTATAAATTTCCAACGGGCCATTATGACGTACAGGCCAGGTGGCAATCGCCACCCGCCCCCCCCGGGCCAGTCCGCCCCAGAATTGATTTGCTGCAAGTATACTCCTTATTTCGTAGTAAAATAAGATTGTTTAAAAAAGACTAGTTCTATTTTTAGAAATTCACCTTTTTAATTAATCTTATTTTAGTACCAAATAGGGACACTTGCAGCAAATCATAAATTTATGGAATTTGCATACTTTTTGGCATTCTTTTGTTTTTTATTATCACGGCCTACTCCTAAACATGTAATTAATTAATGTGTAACTACCTTTGTGAAAAATAATGAATAATCTAAAAACTATGGGGTTTAGGCACAGGACAGCCCTTATAAAAATTGAAGAGCACACAAAAGACTATCGAATAGAGAAATAGTGATACTTAAAAAAAAATAGTTATGGCACTTTGAAATTTGGAAATCTTACTATTTTCTTGTGAACACTCTGTATCACATTCTCTGTATCACTATATCCAACTTTCTCATTTCCAAAGTGTTTCTTTTTATTCAAATTAACATTATTGATCAAATGTATTTCTTAACTTATAAATCAAGATCGCTACGACTTATCAAAGTGGGGCTTGCTTATGAGCAAATATTCGGAAAAAAATTAGTAATTTGGTAACATGGACAAAAAACCATGAAAAGGTTTCCATTAAAAAATGATATCGAAACAACTAAAAATATACCGAGTGTTCCATTTAAAAAAATCAGTTGTTTATTGACACCCTGTACATTCAAAAATAATTTCTGTACATGCGCAACCATCATTCTGTGGTTGACATTTGCACAAAAGGTTTTTTGATATTTTTTACAAGGTATGAGCTAGGAAAAACCATCGCACTGTTGCAGGGCCCTGTTATAAAGATTTGAAAAAGTTTAAAGAACGCTGGTCCAGAATCCTGTCCGAGCTACTCGAGATACGGAAAACCGTCAAGCCTTTTCACCTCTCTCCATTATCAAGAAGAGACAAAATAATCATTCGAAGACTTCGAATTGGACACACAAATCTCCTCCTCTATGCCATCACTGCAAAAGTGTATTATTCGCCAAACACCTTCTAACGGAATGCCAGCTCTACTCATGCAAAAGAGCCCAACTTATTATTCATAACTGTATTATTGTATGGAAGTCGAAAGCCAAAATTTTCCGCATTTGCTTGATTGATTTTAGCTTTAAGCACTTAAAATAAAATTGATTTCAAACTTAAGGGTTATAATCCACATAGAAATACCTTCAAAATAAGGTATCACTCGACCCTCCATTCGATTTAAAATTTTGGGGGCGATTGTCACCCCCGCGATGGCTTCGCCCTCAAGGGGGCGAAGCTAGCAAAAGAATCAAAAATTGACGGGTCCGAGGATTTTTTCGTAAATGTTTTGAGGTCACTAAAATAGGCTGACGAGACATACTGGGAATATTTGAATTTTTTAAGTACAAAATCAGGTGGGTTATTTATGAAATATGCAAAAAGTTGGTTCGTTTCATTTAAATCTGTGTCTCAGTGTTGGTTTTCCTTATTTCCTAATTTAAATTATGTTAATCCGTAATTATTGTTTAAATATTATCACTTTTTTTCATTTTAGATACGGCGTTAGAAGAGAGACTGTTTGCTATAAGGATTTTTATCAGGAGAAAATTAATTAACGCACGTGTTTTATCGCCGTTAATAGGACATGGAGATATTAGAAGAATTGTGCCTTTTATCTCGGCAGAAGTGGGGACATTTTGATGCGTCCCGCGATTTATTTGAAAATTCATAAAGAAGGACCAAACAACAAAAAATAAAAAACTTCAAACCGCTTAAAACTTGGAAACACTTCCTCTCGGTAATCACTAAAGGGTTTTTTTGCCATATTTTAACTAAAGGTGGCATCTTTCCTTGTAAGCTCAGTAATTTTTCACATTACCCTTGTATATCGTAATGTCACGCTTAATTTTGACAAATGTTAATGAGAATGAGGTGTGACGGTTCCAATTTGAAATGCAGCAGTTTTAATCAAAATTTTATGTTAACATGCGTAAAATTCGCGCTCATGGACCAGCAAGGCAACCTCAGTGTAAATTTTGGGGAAAATCCAAAAATTTCGGATAGCAACTGAAAGGTATGTGCTAAAACTGTGTGTTTAACGCTTTGGAATGCTTCATAAATTGCTTGCTCGTTTGCATTTTTAAAGAAAGGCGAAAGGAAATTTTCCATTGGTGGAAAAAGTCCTCCACAAAATTGCTTGTCCGTGCTAAAACTTGCGAATGAGAGTGAAATTCTTTACAGAAGTTTCTGTGAATCATAGATTTTTACCATTGATTGACAAACCGTAATTTATGCAACAACAAACGTTTAAACATTTTACATTTATAAAACAAACAAGAGCTCTATTTGGCAAATTCTCTTTGGATGTTTGTCCCTCCTTCAAATGTTGTTAATGAATACTTTAGATTCTGCAAAGTGAGGCTTTTAGATGTAGAGATCCACAAGTGTAGAGATCATCGTATCTTATTTGGTATTATGCGGTGCAGTTAATTGCTGGCCCGCAGAATGACAGAAAACAATAAGTAGAGTTGAGTTAATGCATTGTTTTTGGCGTAATGGTAATAGTCGACTGTAGATGTTCCCGGCTTCCCGGATTTCCGACGGAGTAAATCTGTTTCAGAGTTTAATTTTACCTATATGATGTCGTTGCAGTGCGTTTGTATTATGATCATAAAGGTCGATCCGTATATTGTTAGGAAAACTAGATTTATAACACTGTGTGTGCAGTACCCAATGATATACCAATAGTAATGTGTAGTCCCTTGGAATTAGAAATGTGTAGTGCCTACTTTTCGACATAGGATCCAATCGGTGAGGTTTTTTTTTTTAAATTAGGGTGTTTAAATGTAGTTGGAATTTCCGAAAGTGTTTTACTACATCAGAAACCTTCGCGAGCATACGTAATTGACATGTTTAGTTTTCTAAAAAAAATCCGTTTACAAGAAATACTTTCCTGGTATAAAAATTATTTTAAAAAAAAACGAGTTTCTTCAAAACGTAACTTTTCGGCACGGAAGCATTTTGTTGAGACCCAGTACTTTCCCTTTATTATATTTTCCTCTCACGCATCCCTTCGCTTTTTATTTATCGAAGTATCTACTCCACAACTAAGAGATTGACATCTGCATATATGCAGTCCAATATAATCGATGGGTTTGTCTTTACCAAAAGGCGCTACTGTTAAAATTTCGAGAAGATTGGGTAATAAGAACTGTTACAATATGAAAATTGAAATTTAAAACTTGTAGCCTATTTAAATTCGGCAATGAAAGTTGATACCCTTACAATGTAATAGTTTACACAGCAAATCTTTGAGGGATAATGAGTATTACTCGCTCATGGAGCATAAGTCCTCCAAATTTGAAAATTGCTTTTCATATTTTGTCATGCAAGATTTTAAACAATTATTTTAATTATTATACCAACTGCAAAAATGTTAATCATTTCAAAAGCATGTTACGTACAGAACTTCTAATTCCCCCCAGAGAAGCAAATGTCAATAGGGCGATTTAATCTTTTGTTTTTAATTTTCTTGATCTTACTTCTGTATTATTGTTGCGCGTACGTATTATTTTTGTTTTCTTTATATGAATTCACGTCGCTTAATGTACCGATGGTAGGAGTGAAAAACGGCCTTTGGCCGATCTCCCACCAGCAATTTTTTAAATTTGAAATTGTTATTTATTTACTTAATAAAGAAACATTATTATTATTATTTGGATTGGAGATATCCAACCCGGTCAAAAAGTTTTCGATTTATAAAATAAAAGATAGATGTAAGAATTAATTTTGGTGAAGATATTAAAGACTTACCTTTCTAGGTGTAGAGACTTGCATCACGCCAGGTACGGTATTTACCTGCAATTAAAGACATTTGTTAGAATCAATTCATTTGTTAGTGAATCAAAAGTTTCAAATAAAAAAAATACATTTTATTAACTTTCGCCCACAAGAAACCCAAGAAATCGATCAAGTTTTATCGTGGGTTTTTTAAACGAGAATTACGTTTCGAATAAAAAAATTTAAAAAAACTTTAAAAAACGGTTTTTTGTTTTTGCCCATTCAGTACTTTTCCATGGAATTGCTGAGGGGGAAGGGGAAATGTTTTTTAAATGGCAGTGCACCTTTTTATTAGGTTCATTTGATAAAGATATTTTTCTTATTTCCATGCTTAGTACACTAATAGAATAAAAATTTTCAAAAAAAAAGTATTATTATACACATCAATAGCATTAATCTAGATATCCTATATCAAAATAAAACAAATGAACGTGTACGTTTCTTATTAAATCTCGAAGACAAAATGAAATTTGCAATAAAATGGTAACAAACGTACACATTTAATTGTTTTATTTTAATGTAGGACATCTAGATTAATGTTTTGATGTGATTAAACGTTTTTTTTAATTTGCTTGTATTAGGGTACTAACATGTTACATCGTCGAAAAGAGAAAAAAATCACATGAGCCCAATGAAAATATGCACTGCCATTTAAAAAAATTCAATAAATTGTTTTTCGTTACTAATTTATTTTCTGAAATAAAAACAACTGAATGCTGCCTTATTATGGAAAATATCATATAGAAAAATTTTGTATACATTCGATATTTACCGAGATATACACTATATTCCATACATAATGGGCATCCTGTATATCCTATTTGCATTTTGTTCCTTGATTGGCCTGCCGGCAAACATAAAGCACGCTCAGTTTTAGCGATCATTTTGGATCGAAGATACACAGAATCTTGATCTAAATTCCAATTTGAGAGAGGAAACAGTATACATGCTATGATAGATACAAAAATTGACTGATAGCAGCCATGACTACTACTTTACGGAAATACACGTTTTGAAGCATCAGAAATCCGAATCAAACAAAATGTCGGTCCGTCTGTCGGTCCATCTGTACTCTCATTGGAAGAGCTGAACAGCTTTTGAGTAGAATCTCGCATGGGCAAAGTTTTTTTTATATCTTCTGACGTTAAGTTTCATTTACATTTAAACTAAAGTTTACATCTTATCGTATTACATTTATTATCATTTTGGTTAAAAACAAATTTGGATGGACTAACATTTTCGGTTTACTTTTGTAACCGGTTCAATATTATACAGGGTGTTCCTACATATGATGTCAAATATACGGAAGGGGCTAATTTTTTGGGATATTTTAAAACTAAAAATTAATATAAACATTTGAAATATTGGTTTACGCTAACCCTAAACTTTTTGGTCTCTTGTAACATTTTCGTATCTGTGGCCGTACTCGACGAAAAAAAAATAAAAATGTTTAGTGACATTTCTAGTGACTTTTCTAGTTTAGTCCCTGAATTTATTTGGATATTATCTTGCTTTTATTAGTTTTGACAGTTGGCGTGGAAAATTGTAACTTGTGTTTGCATACGTTTATAAATTATAGGTTTAAATTGTAAAGTGTACGGTAGAACTATAACCCCCCTATATATTGGTAACGAAGCGCTTAGGGAGGTATGTTATAAGAACTTTTACTTATAAAATGAACCAAAGAAAGTTCCTTCCATTTTTACATCATATTTAGGAACACCCTGCATAGTAATACTAGTAAATCAAATTACCCATAGAGTGTTCATTTCATCGCACATTTTTCCTCGAGTTTTTCCTTTAAGGACCTCTGCTGTCGCTCTAAATTTATTTCGTTTTTTTACCATTGAACCACCAGAAAGAGAGCATTAATGATACCAATTCGAATGTATGTGGCCTAGTTTATCAAGTACTTAAAAAGAAAAAATTTGAAAAAGCTGTCTCTAAACTATTAAGTCAGAGACCAGCTTAGTCTGAACTTGTAGGTAGCCTAATATAGTTTAGTGATATACAGGGTGATATTGGGCGGTAGACACACAAGCATTTTTCCAATTAAACCGAGGGTCCAACGTGTTTTGTTTGGAAGCCACCCTTAATAAAGTGCTGAAATTTGCATTTTTTTCCTCAACTCGTTACTAAGAGTGGCACGTCTTTGAATAAGTTTTGGAGTATGGCCTGTTTGATTTTACAAACATTTTCTTAAAATTCCTACCACGAAATGGCGCACCCCTAAAACTTTCTAATTTCCACCAAATTTGGTACGTATCTGGTATAAAAATTAATTTTATCTCTCATTGTATTCTAATTAAAGGTCTCAACGAAAGGAACCGTTTTCTACCAACTACTGCCCTTCTTTCTGTCCTCTTATCAAAATTGGGAGGGGGGTGGAGGGGAGGGTGGGGTGGAACTAGTTTTATCCTTCATGGTACTCTAATGAAAGGTCTCAACGAAAGAAATTAATTTCTACCAACCATAGCCCTCCTCCTCGACCTCTTATCGTGATCGGGTACTCACAAAGCACGATTGAGACGTCTGCAAGAAATATATCCATTGGTGATGTCAAAACAAAAGCTATTTCGGTTTAAAAAATGCGCTTTATGTGCACGAAGGATCCACGAGACCTTTTGAAGTTTGAAGTTAGTGTTCAACGTATGTTATTGCGCTATGGCGAGTTCTACCTGGGACACACGGTATTCAGTTGTTTTTATTTTAGAAAACAAATGAATAACGAAAAACAATTGAATTCTTTTACCCCTTCATTAGGCTCATTCTTGGGTTCATTTGATAGAGATTTTTTTTCTCTTTTCGATGACGTAACATGTTAATGCCCTTATATAAGGAAATTTTTCAGAAAAATTAAAACACTCTTTGTTAAGTATTTACACCAACAACATTAATCTAGATATCCTACATCAAAATAAAACAAATGAACGTGTACGTTTCTTATTAAACCTTGGAGACAAAACTAAATTAGCAATAAAATAGTTTTCCTTGGAATAAGTGTTCAAAACGAGGTTCAAAATGTTTGCCATCATTATCTGCAAGGCGGTGGCCTACCCTTAAGCCTAACCCATCATAAAAAGCTTGAAATAAATGACTGAGGATTCCGAGAAAAATTTCTGCAGTAATTATTGCTAACTTAGTTTTGTCTCCAAGGTTTAATAAGAAACGTACATGTTCATTTGTTCTATTTTGATGTAGGATATCTAGATTTATGTTATTGATATAATTAGGTACTAATATAGTTTTTTTTTAAATTATTATATAAGGGTGCTAACATGTGAGTCATCGAAAAGAATCAAATGAGTCTAATGCAGGGGCATTTCATTATTTAAAAAATTCAATTGTTTTTCGTTATTCATTTGTTTGTTAAAATAAAAACAATTGAATGCTGCCTTATTATGGCAAATAAAATCTTAAACAATTTTTATATAGAAAAATTTTTCATACAGTAATTTACCGAGATATTCCATATATTGAAAATGTTCTTTCATGATAACCATCTCTACTGTACTATAGTGGATAATTATAAATATTCTACTCTTCCAGTTTCAAAAAAAATGTCTTCTTGTTTTTTATTAATTAAGGGCAATACAAAAAAGTCATTCTTTGTGTTATCTCATCTTTTAGCTACGTCACTTTTTATATGTTTATACCAATAACTAGTTTACGGCGCATTTCAGCGCATACCTGAGAGTACAATTTCGTATGTTAAAAAAAGTAATTTTTAAAAACGTTAAGTTGGCCCCCCCACTTTTTGAAAATTTGTCACGGCTTAACCGTAATGGCGCTAGCTTTAATTCAAGTGGCGCAATTGAGCGCATAACCAAATGTATCAGGTGACCTAGTTACAAAGGACAAAATACGTACTGGGGGGGGGGGCTACGTTCACTTGCCCCCCCCCATGTTTTTTCGGATTTCTAGAAAACGATAATTTACAGCTTTATTTCGTGAAATTGATTTGCGATTCACCCTGACTACCAAAATGTGAGCTGGCACAAACGTTTTATATTCACGATTGCCTTCGCCGTAATACCAGCAAAGCGTTGAGACTGATTTTGTCCGAAATCCTCATGAAACCTACATGTGCAGGCCTGCTTTATGTCAAGAAATTTTAGCTTTTACCTAACTACTTTTACTGTCGCCCCTGTCAAAACTGACAGATGAATATCAATAAAAAGTTCTATATTATGATCGATGAAATTTTATACTAAAAAGGCAATTTCGGAAAAATGTACTACATATATACTCGGCAATAAAATGACATTACTTGACTCGGAAATTAAAGTACTCGGTCCCAAAGTGGCCTCGTACTTCAACATTTCCTCGCAAGTAATGTATCATTTTCCTGACTTTTATGTAAATAACTATTACAGAATCGGGGTTTTGCTTTAATGGGAATATAATTTTTGATCATTTGACGTGGACGTTTTCATAAGTAAATGAGTTGGTAAAGACTTTGGACCGATTTTATGGATTCGAGAAAAAATTCAAATAATTCTTTAGAGCCGGAAAACAATCGATTTCAGAACGTATAATTTATAGGACTAAAATAACCGAAACCGAGACAATGGGAAATGACGAATGATGAAGCGAAAACGTTATGGATCTCAGAAGTAAACTTTAGTGGATCAAAAAGTAAAACAAAAACATCAACATTAAAAAACGTTTCAACGTCAAACTGACAGATAAAATGCATATACTACCCCATTCATATCTTTTATTTTAGAGCAGATGTTAAATTAACATTTTAATAGGTTTCAATGAGTATGCCAAGTCTCCTTTAACAGTAAGAGTAGATAATATGATCACTTTAATGGAAAGGGTAGATAAAGTGAAACAAGTGATTGTGCATTCTCATGGCATCTGCCATTCTTTTTAAAAAACGAAATAAAATGAAACGGAATACAATATTGTTTCCAGGGAAACGACGAGATGGGATCCTAAGCTTACTATTTTGGATGACTTCTGTTATTATGCACGACGATAAAGATAAATCACGGTAAAATCTTTAACTCAATGGTGGTTTTATTTTCCTTTTTGATCCTGATGCAGTATTGCGGAAGTGAGACTAAAAATTGAATGTGACGTGTGCTGATTTGTAACCACCATTGAGACATGTAACGTATCTGCTCTCGTTGGCGTGTGAACATTTCGTAAAATTTCCACAGGCATCATGCCTTGTTAATCCAAAATAACTGTTTTGCATTGTAAATACAAAGTATTGAGAATCCACCAGTGGCTCATAATTGTACTCGTATCCACGCAAAAACTACGAGGCCATGAAACGCCCGAGTGGCTTGACATTTTTATTCTGATGTGTTTTACTATAATCACTTTTGCTCAAATTTGCTAAATGGGCGAGCGGAGGATGCATTAAGTTTGGTAGGCCACCAAAATTTGAGATTTTGGTCCTGAGATATACGCTCGTTCACTGAAACGATTAATGCGCGCATGAAGTTTAATTAACATAACACAACATGGATAAATTAAGACGTGAAGATTCGGACTGTCCTTTCTCTATTAACGCAATAAAAAAATCATTTACGTCACGGTGACACTTTTTCAGCTATCACCCCCTCCTCGATTTTCCGGTATTAATTTAAGGGAACCTACTTAATGTGGCGAATTGCATTATATCGCACCATAATCTTCTTTTTGGTTGCGAGAATTGTTGGTTCGGTGTCTCTTTTCCTTTATTGCAAATTCACGCGAATGAATTACATCGTACGATCCAACCGTCAAATAGTCCAAATACAGTTTCGCACGTTTTTGAGTTGGGACCGGTGTCGGATAAGGGATCGGTGAGTGGATTTTTTCCGAAATGTAATTTAGTTCAATTTACGCAAGTACAATGCGGAGGTCGAGCTATTGTGGAATTTTTTGCGGAGGTTTGAACGTTTTGTGATATTGCTCGCGTTTCAGGTGCGGCGTGTACGCAAATGAAGAAGTATGTTTGGGGTTACCAATAAACGAGTTGAGCTGATGGTACGGGTTGCCATGTTAATTCTTTTGCAACGAGAAGCTTTGGCGGAAGGTCCACATTTGCCACAAACGGGCAGGTTTCGCGAAGGTACGTCCATTGATGGTAGGTAGATAATTAAGAGGATGCGGTTAAGTCCGGTACGAACCACTTCTTGTAAAGTTACAAACAAAATAATTAAAATAGGAATGCGCGTGACGTAAATCTTTTACAGATAATTTCACACAATGTAATGGTGGTCATGGTGGAAAAATCGAAAACGAATTCGGTTGGCAGGATTACTTGGTCTTATTGGCAATGCTTGTGATATCGTGCGGAATTGGCGCCTTTTACGGCTTCTTCGGATCCAAGCAAAAAACCAGCAGCGACTTTCTGCACGGGGGTGGAACGATGGGCACCTTTCCGATGGCAATGTCATTGGCGGCAAGGTAGAAACGGAACTCGATCGGACTTTACCTTAAACCGATTTCGTTACAGCTTTATCACGGCCATTGAATTACTGGGAAATCCCGCAGAAATGTATAATTACGGTACACAATTTTGGATGATCTGCATCTCTTTCATTTTGGTTATTCCAATTACATCCAAATTCTACTTGCCGATATTCATGAAGCTACGGTTAACTAGTAGTTATGAGTATTTGGAATTGAGATTCAATCGACAGACGAGCCTTTTGGCAAGCGGACTGTACATATTTCAAATGGTGCTGTACACCAGCGTCGCGGTGTACGCTCCGGCTTTGGCTCTTAGTCACGGTAAGTACCTACGTATAGAATTTAAATTGGATCTGACCTCGGATGAGCTAGTACATAATATGACCACACCACTTGGTAAATACTCACTAACAGGGCTTTTCCAATGTTTGGGCCCGTAACCTTTGGCTATTGAGATTATTGCGAGAATTTGGATGTATCCCTGGTTGTTGAGAGTCATAATTATACAGAATAAGCATAAGCGTTTCTAAGATGATGAATTATCTCTTCTTTGGGACATCACCAAAATTTTCGAGGGCATTCTTAGTTACCAACTCAAGGAAAGCAGCTCTATTTGCAAGTGTAAACAAATTATTGAGTATAATTCACTGATTCGAATTGTAGATCGTAAACCAATCACGTATACTTAAAAACAATTTACAATAATTATCAGATTAATTAAATAGAAATTGTAAGTGAATTATCTATTAGGTACTACTATCGACACGCTAATCTGTATATATTTACTCTAAAAGTCTTAGTGTCAGCGTCCACATTTTCAACAGTATAGGGGTCAACTAGGGTATACAGGGTGTTTTTCTGGGAAAGTAAAATAGGTAGGTTTTTGAAAATTTGTAAGTTACTTTGAAGGCCAAATCGATGTAAAATATTTTCGAAATGGTCGCACTTTCGGAAATAGCGGAAGTAGCTAGTAACTTAGTTATTTTAAACGGCAACCCCTATTTTTTATTGCATTTTTGGATTCTAGGTGAAATTTCAGTTCTTTTGATACCCACATGTCGATATCTACCACTTATGGTTTTTAAGTTATTTTGACTTTAAGAAAAAAAAATGGCGGATGCAGATGGTACCTTTTTGATAATTGAGTACTTGAAAATGAGTCATGGCAACCCATTTTTATCAGTGCATAGAGAATGAATAGGGTTTTCTTTTAGTGTAGGTACTTAAAAAAAAAGTTAAGTTGCTTACAACCGCACCTATAGAGATCCAAATGTAAGAAACTTCACAGACTAAAAACTCAATTTTTTAAAATGGAATGGTCATTTTCTTACTATTGCATGAGATAAAGAATCGAAATGGGCATATTTTGACAATACATGTTCCTATAGCTATCTTTATCAGTTTCTGACTTATTCCCATTTTATTGAATTGGCACTATTTTTTTCGGATTTTCTTTTTAGTAGTTGGCCATGATTTTATAATAATCGAATTTTAAACAGATCTAGTGACACTAATCCGTCACCTGTTTTAGGTTAACAAGTTATTCAAAAAATGGTGAAATGGGCAGAATCGCGGCACGTGCTTACAGTACATTCATTCGAACACTGGAACGAAATTGTATGAATTTTGAAAATTTTGTACCCTCAAAAAGTACTACAAACCGTTGAATCACAAGTGATACAAAGCTCTACAAGAGAATATTTTAAAAAAATGAATTGAATTGTGTTTGCAACACGAAGGCTCTCATTTTGAGCATGTGTTGAAGAAGAGAGGGTTTTAAAACAATTTGATCCTATTTTCATATAAGTTTATGTTTTCCAATTATAGCTGATCACTATGTTGTTTTTTTAATTAATGAATCAATGATATTAAAGAATCTTTTCTTTGATTTGTTTAAAATTCGATTGTTATAAAATCATGGCCAACTACTAAAAAGAAAATCAGTTCAATGAAATAGGAATAAATCAGAAACTGTTAAAGATACTTAGCTATAGGAACATATAATATCAAAATATGTCAATTTCGATTCTCTATCTCATGCAATAGTAAGAACATCGTCATTCCATTAAAAAAAACTGAGTTTTTAGTCTTTGAAGTTTCTTAAATTTGGATCTCCATAGGTGCGGTTGTACGCAACTTAACTTTTTTTTAAGTACACTAAAAGAAAGCCCTATTCATTCTCTATGAACTGATAAAAATGGGTTGCCATGATTCGTTTTCAAGTACTCAATTATCAACGTACCATCTGCATCCGCCATTTTTTTTTCTTAAAGTCAAAATAACTTAAAAACCATAAATGGCAGATATCGACATGTGGGTATCAAAAGAAGTGCAATTCACGTAGAATCCAAAAATGCAATAAAAAAAAGGGGTTGCCATTTAAAATAACGAAGTTACTATCTACTTCAGTGCGACCATTTTGAAAATATTTTACATCGATTCGGCCTCCAGAGTAACTCCTAAGTACAAATTTTCAAAAACCTACCTATTTCACTTTCCCAGAAACATTTAACAAAAGCTCCCAAAAAACACCCTGTATCTATACCTTTCGTTCATATAGCACCCCTAAGATACGGGGGCAAAATCATGATATTGAAATTGTTTAATAGAAAACATCCATGCGGTTGAAAACTTAGCTATGTAATATACAGGGTGCTGCAACAGTGCGTCGATCTTTCCTATCTCATACCTCGTAAAAGATATCAAAAAGCCTTTTGTGCGAATGTCAACCATACATTGTTGCGCATTTACAGAAATTATAATAATAATAGTACTCTTTATTCCAATCTAGAAACAAAACTACGAACACAACAAAAAAGTAAAAATTATATAAAGTAAAAATTAAGTACAGGGTGTCAATAGACTACTGATTTTTTTTAATGGAACACCCCGTATATTATTAGTTGATTTGAGATCATTTTTTAACCTCTGCATGAAAACCTATTCACTTTTTGGTTTTTTGTCAATGTTACCAAATTACTATTATTTCAAATGGAACGATCACTATTTTATTTCTCTATTCGATAGGCTTTCGTGTGCTCTTCAAGGGGTGTCCTCGCGTCTCTCTTTCCTGGATTTTTTTAAGGGGAACTATATCTTTTCCATCCACTTTAGAGACATCAGGGCTCAATGCTGTCATGAAAACACAAGTATTAACTTTTTGGGTGCACTGTTGAAGATTTATCCGGTCAAAAATAGCGAAAAATGTCTTTTTTCCAAAATTACAGACTTTCAAGGGCGGATATCTCGGAAACTATTCAAGATATCGAAAACTGACCGAGTGAAACTTGTAGAAAATATAATCAGCGATCATTTTGTACAGCCGAAAGCCGAAAAACCGTACTTTATCCCCCCCTCCCCTCCCCACGTTTTAGCTCCAATTCATAAATAAAGAAAACTGAAAAAGAGTAATGTCAAATTGTAATTAGAATGACACTAATTAGCGCGCCATTGTTTTGCAAATGGGTACTCTTTTGTTATTGGTCAATTCGCCAACGGCGAACTTGGTTAAACTACGAACATGTTTGAACGTGAACGTATTCGAAGGGGACGAGGACGGCGACGCGAGTTTTGGGTTTTGGTATAAATGAAAGTATTAATTTGCTATTCATTATCTTCGGTGAACTACTAACGCGAGCGCGGAGGAAAAAGTTTTCAATCGGCCTTAATTTACAAAAAAAATGTAACACTTTTTTCGGGTCCGTTAACTTGGCCCCCCCACTGAGAGATTTCATAGTCGTATTATTTTGAAATGAATGCGCTCGTTATGCGCTCATATGCGCCACCGATAATAACTCTTGCGCCATTATCGTTTTTTAGAAATCCGTACGTAAATCAGTACGTATTTTGTCCCTTGTAACTAGGTCACCTGATACATTTGGTTATGCGCTCAATTGCGCCACTTGAATTAAAGCTAGCGCCATTACGGTTAATCCGTGACAAATTTTCAAAAAGTGGGGGGGCCAACTTAACGTTTTTAAAAGTTACTTTTTTTTAACATCTTTTCATACGAAATTGTACTCTCAGGTATGCGCTGAAATGCGCCGTAAAAAGATATCTTTGCGCCATTATTGTTTTTTGGTTATCCTTAAATATATTTGGGGGGTGGGGGGCCAAGTGAACGGAATCCCCCATAACGCATTTTGCTACCGGTATTTGTGCCACTTGATACATCTGGTTATGAGCTCAATTGCGCCACTTGAATTAAAGCTAGCGCAATTACGGTTAAGCCATAAAAAATTTTTAAAAAGTTGAGGGTCTAACTTGGCGTTTTCAAAAGTTATTTCCGGAAGTGCGTCCATTTTGAAAATATTTTACATCGATTCGGCCTTCGGAGTAACTCCTAAATACAAATTTTTAAAAACCTACCTATTTTACTTTCTCAGAATCGTTTAACTAAAGCTCCCAAGAAAACACCCTGTATAGTGTTTCTGAAACACTATAATGGCGCCAAGATTTTTGTTTACGGCGCATTTTAGCGCATGATGAAAGGTACGATGTAGTAGAAAAAACATGTTAAAAAACGTAACTTTTGAAAACGTTAAGTTAGCCCCCCCCCTTTTTAAAAATTTTTTATGGCTTAACCGTAGTGGCGTTAGCTTTAATTCAAGTGGCTCAATTGAGCGCATAACCAAATGTATCAGGTGACCTAGTTACAAGGAACAAAACACGTACTGGGGGGGGCTACGTTCACTTGGCCCCCCCCCAAATGTTTTTTCGGATTTCTAAAAAACGATAATGGCGCAAGAGTTATTATCGGTGGCGCATATGAGCGCATACCGAGCGCATTCATTTCAAAATAATACGACTATCAAATCTCTCAGTGGGGGGGCCAAGGTAACGGACCCACTTTTTTCTACAGGGCGCCCATTATGTATTGTATATATCTCGGTAAATAACGACTGTATACAATTTTTTTTAATATAAGCGTTTAACATTTTATTTCCCATAATAAGGCAGCATTCCAGTTGTTTTTATTTTAGAACATAAATGAGTAACGAAAAACAATTAAATTTTTTTAAATAGCAATGCATTAGGCTCATTTAATAGAAATTTTTTTCCTTTTTTCGATGACGTAACATATTAGCATTCTATTTAATAATTAAATTAATAACATTAATCTCGATATCCTACATCAAAATAAAACCATAGTATAATACCAATACGAGGGTTGTCCAGAAAGTAGCAGACGTTTTGAAATAAAAAATTTTAAAAAGAACATCTATTATTGTATACATTTGGGGGCTACACTCTTGGGCTATTTATCGACACAAGCGCCATGAGGCACTTGTCATAGCGTAGCCACGAACTTATAAATTAAGATGGACTGCTGATCAAACAGTTGCATAGAGGTAGAAATGGCCTTAGCATGGGTGTCCCCATGATGTGCACATTTTAGTTATTTTCTAGGGGAATTTTCCTAGTGCTCAAGTTTTGAGACTATTGCAGCCTTGGAAAATGACATGTGTCACAGTAATTTATTTACAAAACGTGAGGTTAATGTTGGTTTAATGCTTGTTTATTAGTTGATTTGAATTTCGCGCCAAGTGAGTGCACATCATGGCGGCCCTCATGTAGGTGTCATTTGTTAATGCAGCATTAGCAGGCAATCGTAATTTATAAGTTCGTGAGCGTGGCACAAGATTCCAACTTTTATAAATCCGCCTCCTGAGACTTCAACCACTGGTTATCGCCGCGCCAGCTTGAAGTTCGGCATCACTGTCCATATTGTGCTATGTTGCGAGCGAGGTCTTCATCGCTGGGAAGAGGTGGAAGTCGTCGAACAACAAAACTTCCACATCTTCCCAGCGATGAAAACCTGGCTTGCAACGCAGCGGTTCGATAGGGACATGTCTGCGTTATCCAGTGCAGGTTAAAATCTCAGGCGGCGGATTTATAAAAGTTGGAATCACTTGTGCCACGCTATGATAAGTGCCACAATTTGAATGGTGCTTGTGTTGATAAATAGCCCAAGAGTGTAGCCCCCAAATGTATACAACAATAGATTTTCTTCACAAGTTTAAAATTTTTTATTTCAAAACGTCTGCTACTTTCTGGACAACCCTCGTATTATGATAATTGAATAGAAATCGAAATTAGCAATAAAATGGAATAAAAATTTTGATACACAGGGTGTTTCTGGGAAAGTGAAATAGGTATGTTTTTGAAAATTTGTATTTAGGAGCTACCTACTATGAAGGCAGAATTGTCAAATATTTTCAAAACGGTGGCACTTCCGGAAATACCAGACTTCGTTCATTTAAATGGTAACTTTTTACTTTTTATTACATTTTTAAATTCTATGAGAACTTTTACGTTATTTTTACTTTAAATAAAATGGCGGATGCGGACGGTACCGTCAAAACTCATTACTGGAAAACGGTCGTAGTTATGCAAACCCATTTTTACCAGTGCATAGAGAAAGAATGGGGCTTTCTTTTCTTATGTTTAATTTTGTTTACCATATATTTTTTCGAAAAATGCATAGTTTGGGAGATATCCACAAAAAACGATTTTGGCAGTCATCTTGACAAGATGGCGGCGCCGACGGCAGATTTGAAATTGTGCATTTTGTGAATTTTAGTTCTACTATTTCCAGGTAAAAATCCTCAATGACTGGCCTATTAGCACAACATCTAAAAATCGAAATAATTTCCAAACGGTATGTTTTGCTGGCGAACATTTCACGGTACAAACGTAGGGGGAAACAAGTACCATTTTTGGTGTACACCAAAAATTCAAATTCAAATTAATTCACGTTAATTGAAATTAATTCACGTTAATTCAAATTAATTCACGTTAATTCAAATTAATTCGCGTTAATTCAAATGTGCCGCCAATGTTCTGCTTACTTCACGGACCCGCCCTCTGAGGCTTTTTAACATAATTCCATCCAAATTACGTACAGTTATTTAAAAGAAACTTTAAAATGATTCCAAGATTTCAAAAAAACATTTCAAGCACGTTAACTTTTAAAAGTATCTAACAGTGGATTTTAAGTGAATTGTTAATAACTTTTCGAGTGTCTCAAAGATTAAGATTACTCGCGGGGCCCTGGAAAATTCAAAGAACATTCAATATTCAATAAAGGCGATTTCAATAACGCCTTGTTGAAAATATTTTTAACAAACGTTATAATAATAGCTATTTATTTGAGACGTGAGAAATTTTTGGAGGCCTTTGACCGGGGAAATTAATTTCTCACGTAAAATGGGTCTTGATTGTTAATCTGACAATTATTATAAATTCATTACCTACATGAAACAAACCGAAGGCCTCATTGTCCACCAGTGGATAATGTGTAATTTTTTCCACTAAAATTGAACGCATAATGACTTCTTTGTTGGACTGTAACGAATTTGTAAGGCAACTCTTAACACCATAAAACCCTACACAAAAATTCATGTTTCAAGAGAACATTAAAATTTCCAATTCAATTTTCAATTATGAAAGCATGGAATTTCAATCCAATATTTTTTTAAACATCACAAGACGCAAACACTACCGTTTCCTAATCCAAATTCGCCCGTCTATCCGTCGGTTCGTCTGTTCATCGCCCGAGACCTTATCTACTCTTATAGTTTTCAATATATTTAGTTCGTTCATTTTGAATTCTGTAGCTTATAGCTCGGGCATCTGGGCCAAGAAAATCCTTCATTAATATGCGCAATATATTTCTTATTTACTAATATACTTTGTTGAAATTTTAACCACCGATACTTCTAGTAAAGACAAACATATCGCATATTGCAAAAATAAGATTTCTTTGAAACATTAACCGTATATGCTTTTAGTAAAGAAAAATATAGCATATCATTAGAAAACTACCTTTTCATCCTAAAATTTCTTGTATTTCAGTGACTGGACTAAACGTTTACATTGCCGTTACCGTGGTCTACGTCGTTTGCATCTTCTACGCATCTCAGGTAAGAACAAACTTTGTGACAACCGACCATTCTAACCCTCAATCCGTATTAGGGAGGTATGAAAGCCGTGATCATGACCGACACGTTCCAAGCAGTTGTCTTGGTCGCCTCCATCCTTCTGGTTCTGTACTTCGGCGAGAGGTACGTCGGCGGTACCGGCGTCATTTGGTCCGACAGTTACAGAACGAATCGCTTGGAGATCTTCAAGTAAGTACAACCCTCGCGTTTACCCCTCTGTAATTCCGTCCTTGCAGTATGAATCCGAGCCCAACGATCAGGCACAGCTTTTGGTCGGTAGTGATCGGCGGCACTTTTTACTGGCTCACGATGTTCAGCTCTAATCAGGCGTCAATTCAAAAGTATCTCACGGTGGAAACGATTTCTCAAGCTCGAAAGTGAGTAGTACCGAGATTTAACAATCGCAATTTAACCCGATTGGGTTTAGGGCGATTTGGGTGTCGTCGATCGGACTGATCCTAATCTACACGATTAACTTCTATACGGGAATGGTGCTGGTCTCCCACTATCGCTCCTGTGACCCGCTGAAATCGCACCAGATTTCGTCACCCGACGAAATTCTGCCTTTCTACGTTTTGTCGCAGCTGGGTCACATGCGAGGGGTTACGGGACTTTTCGTCGCGGGTATTTTCGCCGCCAGTTTAGGGTAGGTTTGAAAAAAAGGGGCGGTTGTCTTCTGATTCCTATGTTTAGGACAGTGGCGTCGGCGTTAAACAGCTTGGCCGCCGTCACCTGCAAGGATTTCATTTCTGGGGCGTTCAGAATCGAAATGGCCGAATCTAAGGGCGCGCTGTGGGGCAAGTGCATCTCCATCGCTTACGGAATTATAAGTTTCGGACTTGTAAGCACTTTTCAAAAAGACGGACGTTAACAGGCCGAGTTTTAGGTGTTTATAGTCGAGCAATTGGGAAGCGTAATGCAGATCGCCTTGAGTTTCAATGGAATGGTTGGAGGAGTGACTCTTGGTCTCTTCTCCGCGGGCATGTTCTTCCCGTGGACGAACTCGAAAGGTGCGGTTACCGGGGCCACTGTCGCCCTAGCCGTTGTTCTTTGGATGGGCATTGGTCAGCAAGTGGCCGTTGCCAATGGCAGTTACGTGGTGCAGCAGAAACCCGTAAGCGTCGAAGGTTGTCGTTGCCTGAACCACACGGAGATCGCCGCAGAAGCCGTTGGCCAAAAGTAAGATCAACTGACCTGGCAAACTTGCGTAATTCGCTAACGTTTCAGTTCACTATTCTTCTTGTACCGAATTTCGTACCTGTGGTATTCCGCAATCGGCTTCCTTATAACGGTCGTAGTGGCATTTATTGTTTCCATCGTTACCGGCGTCCAAGATCCCTTCGGCATTGATCCGGATTTAATGTCGCCTCCATTCGCCTACTTTTACGAAACGCTGCCAAGGGATTGGCAGGAATTCCTTAGGCTTCCCCGAATTGCAGAAGTCGAAAAGGCGATCGACTTGAAAGGGATTGTTAACCATGGTCTGAGTATGAGCGACGATAAAGTGGAAAGTGACTGTAAGAAGACTGATAGCAAAACGGGTCCTACAAATTCGGTTATCGAAAAGTAACTAAAAATCAGTATTAATAAACTCGTTATTTAAACAAATTTTCGTTGTTATTGTACATATATTACATAATATACACAAATTGTGATATAATTTATGTTTCATCCACCAATCCATCGTTTTTTAGAAATCCGAAAATAAATTTGGGAGGGGCCTAGTGTACGCCACCCCCCCCCCCCCCGTACGTCTTTTGTCGCTGTAATCTAGGCCCCCTGGATACATTTTGTTATGCGCTTATTTGCGCCACTTGAATTAAAGTTAGCGCCATCACGGTTAAACCATGACAAATTTCCAAAAAGTGGGGGGGGGGGGGCAACAACGTTTTTAAAAGTTACTTTTTTCTATCATCTTTCCATACGAAATTGTATTTTTTGATATGCGCTAAAATGCGCCGTAAGAGATCTTTGGGCCATTCTTATTTTTTAGAAACCTTTTATAGCGCACTGTATGGATGTAAGGATGTCTATCATAGGAATCTCGAAAACAATAAAAGATACGACGATGGTTAAGTTAGCGAAAAGAATGAAAGAGTTATTATCACGCTTTCGTTTTTATTTTTTGATGTTTTGTGAACAGAAAAAAAAAAGTTTTAATAATAAAGATCAGATCTTTAAATATAAAATTATTCAAAGATGAAGTACAATGACGAATACGAATATATTAATTTTTCGGAACCGTGTATTTTTTGTGAAATCATCGCCAATTAGATTTTATACACGCACTCGCGGTTAATGCAAGCTTCGCTCCGTATGTTAAGTAGCGATATACGGCAAACAAAAAAACAAAAGTTGGAAACCGTTGGTTTCAACAGGATGGTGCACCCTCGCACAACGCATATAATCGTGTGAGACATTCGGAGACATTTTCAATTTTCCGGAAAATTTGTCAGATATGTATTTTCGCACGAGTACTCACGCTTTGTGCGCGTGTGCACCATCCTGTTGAAACGAACAGTTTCCAACTGCTGGTTTTTGTGTGCCGTATATTGTTGTATTCGTGATAAAAATGCTACTCAATACAGTAGGTATGTACTTTTTTTATGGGCTACATAAAAAATAAAGTTGATGATTTCTTCAAAACTTATCTGTTCAAATAACATAACAAAAAAAATAAAAACAAAATCAGCATATTTACGTTATTGTCATTGCAAGTAATCGGAATTTTCTGGTTTTCTTTAAAGCATAATAGCTCTTTAATTGGGCATCCTTTCTCATTCTCTGATGTGACCATCGGCGTATCTTCTATGGTTTCGGAGATCCGCATACTTATCTTGGACACAGTGTATACTGTAACGGGATCCTAAAAGGATATCACATTTCTGTTTACGGCGCATTTGAGCGCACGATGAAAGTTGCGTAGTGTAAAAAAAACATGCAGCTCTTGTTTGATTCGTGGGGCGGGAATTAAACAAACGAATTAACGATTAAAGATGGCGGTCTGCGTTAGTAAAAAATCATTTTGTAGGCGTTCTTTAATTAATAAGAAAGGAGAGGATTAGTTTTAAAGGATTCATGGTTAAGCACGCAACGAGATCAGTGCGTGCGAATTAAAATTAATCATATTGGCATTTGGTCATCAGTGCGACCAGTCAATTCAAAATTTTGATTACTCCCCTCTGAACTCCGGAAAGTTTCAACCGCACATTTGAAAATAAAATATTAACTACGGTCGGGAACTACCAAGAAATAACCACTTGAATTATGAACCAATTTCAAACGAATTCTTTATTCTCTATCACATGTCAACACTTGAGCGAAAAAGAGATGGTCATTGTAGCAATTTGAAATAGTTGGAAATTGGTTCACGAATTGGTAACGCACGCCTCACATTTTGTGAAATCAACTGTATATCTAGAAGGGGATTCTTCAGTCGAATCTTGTTTGCCAGAAGATTTCTCGGGTAATTTTTTTTATTGCGCCCAATTACAGAGTGACCCGCATAATGCTTTCTAGAGGCGACTCTTCAGAAGGTCATAAGTTGTTCTATACTACTCCGGTATTTATCTCAAGAATTAGGAAAACTGCACGAAAACCTAATTTGGAGTAGCCGGCAGAATGCTCGAAACTGGTCTAAGGTAATTCCCATCTCTGGCACAGATGAAAAATTCACCTCAACCCAGGTTCGAACACCCGACCTCCGGATTTCTAGCCCAACGCTCTACCACCGAACCATAACGCCACAGTAATACTGGAGCTGGTGGAACATTAAAAACAAGATCAGATGGTGTGTCTGAGGTGCAAAATGGTGAACACATTCATTTAGCTATTAAAGGGCATGCTTTTCTTGTGGCTAAGGAACTACAACGAGATGGTCTAGTCGATGACTATGGGGATGTGCTAAAGAGCAGCGACGGACCTATGGGGAGGGGGGGGGCAAGGGGGGGCTGGCTGCCCCTCCAATACTTAACTAGTTGGCAATTTTGACAAGAGTTGGTAATTTTCATTACCAGTTGGCGAATGCCGCGAAAGTAGGTAAATCGTAAATGTAATAAATCGACTATTGAAGGAATGAGGAATTGCGGCAAAATCTATAAAAAAAGGACTCTTTAATAGGAAAGTCACTTCCTTCTTCTTCAACACAAGGTTGGTATTTTGGTAATGCTTGTAATTAGTATTAGAGACCGTATACTGATATCCTACATTTTCTACATGATTTATTAGACTTTGAAATACCACTTAATAGATACTACTCCGTTTGAGTTGGAAATTTTTACAATTGAGTTGGCAAAATGTCATGTCTGCCCCCCCCCCCCCAATTTTTTTGTCTAGGTCGGTCCTGCTAAAGAGTGCGAACAAATTGGTATTATTCAAGGGGGTGACAGAGAGACGCAATAAATAATAAATATGTGTTTTGCCTGCCACATCGACCGATAATAAAAGATAGTACAACTACTAAAATTCGCTGTGTTTGATGCCTCATCGCAATAAAAAGGACTGCCTGGAAAGGGGTTCAAATTTGATAGAGCAAATTCCTTCTCTTTTGTTGGAATTTAGAATGAATCCTATACGTGTTGTTAGTGATATTACGAAAGCATTTTTACAAATCAATTTACAGCCAAGTGACACACATTTTTTTTGGTACAATCCGAATGGTACTGAATCAGAATGTAACCTTTTCAAAAGTTTTTACGCCTACTTGATTTTTTCAGAGCCACTTTTGATATTGCATTTAGGTGGCCATGATCGACCCAAACTAATCTAAGGTAGTATTTTCAAATGGCAACCCTTTTTTGACAACCACTTTCCGAAAAAAGGATTTTTGACAAATCTAACGATGCTAATTTATTTGCGATTGGATTAAAAATACGGACATTAGTCAAATATTACTAAGCAAAATACCGGATAATAATTTATTTACTTTTGTCAAGTGTGCCATGGATAGCCACGATGCATAATACCTATCTTGCACTTGTTTTCATTAAGTCTTCCTTGGAAACCAAAACACTCATTTTGGTGGTCTTTTATTTCAATGCATTTTGGTAATTAATAGGCCGTTATAAATTATAAACAATTGAATTTATAAAAAATTTACACCAAATAAAATAAAACAAAAACTTAAAAGATGAAAATAAAAAGTTTAGATAAAAATAAGAGAAAAATAATTATTTCAATAAATGTTCAAGACCACACTTCCCAGGAAATTGTTGATTCAGCCATTTCTTTAACGTTTATAGCAAAATGAGGTAGGACACCATCATGCTGAAACCACATTTCTTCTACGATGTGCACCAGAAAATTTTGAGGAAGAGCAAAAAAAAGAGTACTTACCTAAAAATTTAAGTTAAAGTAAAGAGCACCATTTAAAATATGTTATTCAAATTCCACTTTTCTAACACAACAAACAACAACAGAATTGTAAATGCTAATAAACTAAACTTCATTTTATTTTGTGTTAATATTTTATAATATCGCTTTCGTGGCTTACTATCCAAATTGATTTATTTCTAAGTTCAAGCATTGGTCTAAATGCAAATTCATTATTTTCTCTTTTAAAATTGGCTACGGCAAACAAGATTTTTTGTTTTGTTTTGTTGGGGGTGAATGTTTTATCATTTGAATTGGTGTTCTTAATGTTTAACGGCCTACTGATTACTGAGAGGCTTTGGAAATCGAAAAACACTGTGAATTATTAGAAATTGTTGAATTACAAAAAATAGGTAAGAGATACATACCGTTAGAAAGGTAATAAAATTTTACATTTCATGCAATAAAAAAACTTCGTAGTTCCATTTAAAAAAATCAAGTTATCTCTGATTGAAATTTTGAATGATTTCTTTTAACACAAAAAAAGTTTAACTTTAGCTGTTCAGAGTATGTTAGTACATTTCATGATTAGTGCCACTGCAAAGTCACGGCCCTCTAAGTTTTATGATAACTGCGATATTCAATTTTTACTAGACATCTACTTTTTGAAAAAACGACGAATTGCGGCTAAACTACTCATTTTAGATATCATGTGTAATACATAGTCACACTAAAATTGACCAAGGAATCCAAATATGTAATAATATACAGGGGGTTCCATTTAAAAAAATGTAACTTTGATAGAAATCATCCTGTGTAACAATTGCAATTTCGGTGAAAATATTTTTAGGTTGTAGCCTTAAGGGTCCTTCAACATTCCCCCACAATGAATTTTAAATATGCGCGTTAATAAACCCACAATCGTCCACCCACACACTAATGGCCCACCCTGTACAGTATAGTCAAAGTGAACATGTTATTAATATTTGGAGAATGTCAGAAATTCAAGGAATGCTGGCAAGTTGTGTGCTCACAGATAGCCCAATCGGCTACATCCATCCGGGCTGGTATCGGAAACGAAATAATTGCGACAATAACGTTTCAAGGTCAGTTAACAGGGGTTACGTACTTTGGTTTTCTTCAAAATTGAATCGAAGTAATCTAGCTTTAGCAAGATGGAGCACCGCCTCACAATACCAGCGAGTTCTTAATTACTTAACAGAACATTTTAATAATCAAGTTATTGCAACCAATGGATTGCGTGTCGACAGAAACTTCGAGAAAATCTTCGTCAGCGTTTCAGAACGTAGTACCTATCTGGCTCAATTGAAGTTGTCATCCAAAGGGAAGAAAAATATTCAAGTTCTCTCGAATGAAATTGTTCTGATTGGTAACTATCAGGACAAACTGCAGTGCAGTTTTTCCCTATGTCTACTTTTACATGGCAAAATCTCTTCTGAAGGGCCCCTAATGTTATGCAACCAAAATAACTTCTTAAAACAAACAAAGATCTGAATGTGATATTAATTAATTTGAATATTGTTGTTTTGGCTTCACAGAAAATAAATAAAATATTCAAATTAATTAATATGACAGCCAGATCTTTATTTGTTTTGGTTGCATAAAATTAGGGGCCCTTCAGAAGAGATTTTGCCATTTGAAAGTAGACATAGGGAAAAACCATACACCATAATCAAGTGAGTGAGTCTGTCATTCGTGTTCTGAATAATAAAATCCTATCATCCCAATTAATATGGTTATTAAGTAAAGCCTAAAACTTCCGGAAATCAATTTTCAAAAGTTGATATGTTCCAAGTTCAAGGTAGAAAATCTTCAAATTCATGGATCCATCATGAATATTCATAAGGTAAATTGTGCATAAAAAATCGTAGATCATCTAGGTCACATTATAATCATCGACGAAGTTTTCAACACGATCAAAGGATCTGGACGGACGGTAGGTCTATACAGGCTGTTTCAAATTCGAGGACCACCATGGGAATCTCGTAGTTTAAATTTGGCAAGTTGCGTATTTTGATGCTTAACAAAATGCCGTTTTGAAACTGAAGAAATTCCGCCTGCTTTCGTAGATATCCAGAAAAAACGAAATTTGGCAAAATAAGTGTGCAGTTCTTACGTTACCTTCTCTTTGACCACAATGTGCGAATTTTATTTTTGTTTATCTTCATCTTGAATATTGTATAATTATGTTGTTATTTTAATAAATGCGTTAATTTCATTATTATTATTATTATCGTTTTTTCCGGATATCTCCGAAAGTAGTTGGAATTTTTAAAGTTTCAAAACTGCATTTTGTTAAGCATCAAAGTATGCAACTTTGCCAAATTTAACCTACCTATATCTTACAGTTTCCGAGATCCTCATGGTGGGCCTCGAATTTGAATCAGCCTGTATAGTTTCACCAGGAATAATTTTAAATAACCGTCTTATTATGAACGAAACTGTACACAATTTGAAAGATTTGCGGAATGATAACATGATATAATTTTAATCAGTCTTAACAAACTCGGTTCATTTTTAAGTTGGACAATCTTTAAAATTCATCGTGAAAACTTTGGGCGGTATCGACCATCTTTGACTTTAAAAATAGATCCGGATGTGCGAGAATTTCTTCCAGTGATAGCATATTGTCATGATCGCCGTCTGCGAGTGCCAGCAAAGCTTCGGCCTCGTGCTCACTGTGGCGGGGACTTTGCGGAGCGACATAGTGCAACAATTCGCGGCGATCCGCCTTACCGTCACCGTTCAAATCTACGGATTTACGAAATTCTGCACGTCGCTCGTTTTCGTCTTGCCGAATGATTACCATTTCGTCTTCTTCGCCTGAGATTTTCAACCTTTACTTCCACAGCAATTACCGTGTTTGCTTACCTTGCGTTTGCAAGACCGCGAACTCGTCTTCGGTCAGCAGCTCATCGCCGTCTCGATCAAATTTGTCGTACAGCTCGTCGACAAGGGTCAAGTGATTGGCGGAGCTGGACTCTGGGTGGGTAAAAGCCAAAAATTCGTCTAAAGTTAAAGTGTCAGGATCTGACTTTGCGGCTTCCATCCAAGAAGCTCTATCACGCATTATTTGCTCTACAGTAAACCAGAAAATAGTTTGGTAGAAATCCCACGCAAAATTATACCTTTAATTGACCTGTGTAAACCTTTGTGGCGCTTCTCGTCGTGATTATGAACATATTTGCTGCTGAAGCCGCGCTTTTTCAAAAAATACGAGTGGTACTCCTTCCAGGATATCACCCCATTCTTAGGATTCGCATCGATTTGCGAGAAAAGTGCGTGATTATTACCTACGGCTACAGTTATGTGCTCGATTATTTTCAAACGAATCCATCGCGATAACTCCTTTGAGTCGAGCTTTTTATCCCTATTTTCATCGGCCCTAAAAGGCGTCTTTGCAAATTAACAGTCAATCACAAAAACTTACTTTCTAAAAACATCCTGCAAAACGGCCGTGGGATCTACATGAACCTTCTTATTAATACCATCATTCAAATTGACTAAATAATCGCCCTTAACGTTCAACAGTTGATTTTCAGCCTCCACTTTGTCAGAATCGAAGTTACTATTTTTCATTTTAATTACGAAATCATTTTGAAACAGCTTACTCCTCGAGTACACGTCTAACAATTGATTGGGACTTTTTGTTTTGTTTGACTTTAAAGGCACTGGTAATATCCAAATTGTGCAGAACAATACGAAGTACGTTAAAATTGGAACCGAGTAAGACCATCTTTCGAATACATTGAGAAGATTAGGCGCTTTTAGTTTCATTCTCCCTTCATTTTGGTACGATTACGAAACTCGCCCCAATGCACGCATTGAAGGGATGGAACTGGGGGAAAATCGAATTTTCTGTTAGTTACGCGGGGTTCGATTAGGGGGCGCACTATAATCAATATAGAGGGAAAGTAATAAATAATGAAACACTTGAATTTTTAGTAAAAATAAACTGGTTCGTTTGGAACATGTACCCATAGCATGCGGATCTACCTATACGAGTATGGTATTTGCTAAACTAGTCTATTATTGGTTCAAATGGTTTAAAAGCTACTACCCCACCCTCCTTCAATGCATTTATCTATTCGGCGATCATTACTTTTGTCAAAGACTGTACGTATCAGCGTCATAAGTTTTATATAGTTGCTAACAATGTTAATTTTAATCCCCACCGTCCATGGTATCAACGTCATATTTTTTAGTGGACTTTCACTTAAAAAAAATAAAAAGTGCCCGCATTTGCGTTCTTGATGTCTGTCTGTCTGTCTATCTGAGTCACAAAGGCTCCGGAAGTACACCACTTATAGACCTGGTATTGGTGTCATTCGATCAGAAATTAAAAATTATTTCACTCCCACTATAATAATGTTAATGCTGGGACCGGGAAGAAATATCGGTAGGCACGAGATCGGTTGACTCGTGTCGAAGTAGTGCGTGTGACGGACGGACGAACGGACGACAAAGTGCAGTCAATAGCGATTTTTCCTAGGATTTTTCACTTTGAGGAAAATACGTTAAAAAGGAAGCGTGTTCATTTTGCAGCAAGAGAAAGAAAACTGTTTCATGTGCTAGAAGACTGGTCATCACAAAATGTTTTACCATTTTGAAGAAGTGGCGTGAACATTTTTGAACAATTGTATGACAGTACATCGAAAAAAATATGCAGAAACAATCTCCTTCCACGCCCTTACGATGCTGAGATAAAATACATGCATAATAGATTGAAAAAAAGTTAAAACACGCACAGAAAACAGAAACAACAGAGCACAGAATCTGAACTAAAAAGCCTAAAATAAATTTTCGTTGAAAAAGTGTTGCAGTTATGCAGCAGTGGTACCACTTCAAAAGGGACGACAATTTTGGGATTTTTTAGCGCCCACAATTTCCGACGCTCCATATATTTCAATTTATTTGGAGGTATGTACGGTCATTGACAAAAGTAATGATCGCCTAATAGGTAAACTCTGCAACCAACATGCCTACCACATCGGACGCTGTCGGTTTAATTTGTTGGTTCGCATTTTCAATATATTGAAATGTTGGTTGCGTATGCTGCAGGATTTATCTATTCGGCGATCATTACTTTTGTCAAAGACTGTACATATCAGCGTCATAAGGTTGATATAGTTGCTAGCAACGTTAATTTTATCCCCCACCGTCATATTTTTTAGTGCACTTGCACTTTTAAAAAATAAAATGGGCACTTTTGCGCTCTTGATGTCTGTCGGTCTGTCTGTCTGTCTGTCTGAGTCACAAAGGCTCCGGAAGTACACCACTTACAGACTTGGTATTGGTGTCGAATTAAAAATTATTTCATGTGTGTATTCTGGTTAAGGCATGAAATGTCCATAAGGGCTATTAAAATTTAAAAAAACAAATTTGAGAGTGCACTCTTCGCCTCTTGCTCACAAGCGGCTTAACGAATTTTTTTGACTTTGCATTATGAATTCAAACGTCTAGGAAGGACACTGTTCTGGCACGCAGGAATTTTATGATAGTGTCATTTAGGTCGACCTAAAAAGGGTTTAGGGGCACTATTTTTTATACACAAACTTTGCTCAATAAACTATAGATTGGTGATGGGAAACAACTATGATCTCCCGGTACACCAGAAGTGAACTGTCGTTATTCTAATTTTCTTTTAACTATGGCACCTCAACCAAGAAAAATCTTGACGATTAATGTGCTCATGCGCAGTCTGCACAATGTCAATTTTCTTATTTATGAAGATATTTCTTTGAAATTTTAACCACAGATGCTTCTAGTAAAAACGAGCATCTTATGCTGCAAAAATCAGACCTGCCCACTGCGCGATGTCAACTTTCTTATTTGTAGAGAGTTTTTGGAAATTTCAACCACAGATTCTCGTAGTAAAGGCAAACATATCGCATATTTTAAACATATCAAGTGTGTGTATACGCAGACTGCGTTATTTATAAGAATATTTATGCCATAATCTATTTTCCTTGATAGTCCGTTATATGACCTTTTGGGAAGTACTCATTAATTCATGAAAAATGCGTTAAAGTTACTCGCCTGAAGGCGAAATCTTTTTTTTTCATTTTTTTAAACCTATGTACAATTTGGATCAAATTTTTGAATACGTATCTAAAGACTAAAATGAATATAAGAGTACCCATAGCCAAAGCATAACTTTTGGTTGTAACGAACCACCTATTTTCCGCGTTGAAGTTTACATACTTTCACGATCACTCGATATTTGGAGGCGCTTCGTTACCAAAAGTGCCGCGTCGGTGCTACGAGTTGAAGATAGAAGCTAAAGATAATCGATTTAATTTCTAGAATTGTGTTTCAGCCGTCACCGTTACCGTAAACAAAAGCTGTTATCAATTCGCCGTTTGTAACCGATCCCGTCAAGATATTTGAATTCATATTTTAGAATTTCAGCTCCGTTAAGTCATTATTAGCAGGTTTTAGTTTCCTATGGTAATTTAAAACGAGCATTAAAACTGCAAGAGCATGCATGTTTACGCCGGTATCAGTTTGATAAGAGACCTTTTGCCGCCATAAGAAATTCCAAGAGACAATGGGGGTTAATTAGATTAAGATTTTGTCTCGCGTACCCCTAACATCATTTCCACCCTTCCTACAAAAACCGTTAATTTTAGATGTACAAATATAATTAAAAATTGCCATCAGTTACCAGTATAGAATCAATACGGTAAGGCTCTATTTCAGCAAACCCTAAAAATAGGTCTACAGTGCTAAGGATTTATGTGCATTGTTTGTATAATGATAAAATCTCTTCTAAAGGGCGCCTAATTTTATGCAACCAAAATAACTTCTTAAAACAAATAAAGATCTGGCTGTCACATTAATTAATTTGAATATTGCTGCTTTGGGTTTCGTATTTTTATTTCCATTCGTGTGCGATGTATTCACCTGAAGAAGTTGATATTCTCAATTGGTATAGTGCCGGAAAGGAGCGTAAAAGGTGTATTTTCTGTAAATCCAAAACAACAATATTCAAACTAACTAATATGACAGTCAGATGTTTATTTTTTTTAAAATTATTTTAGATTCATAAAATTAGGCGCTCTTCAGAAGAGATTTTCTCCTTTAAAAGTAGACATAGGGAAAAACACACCTAAATCCCTATGTCTACTTCTTAATAAATATCACTGTATATCGTGTTCCTACAAAAGGCAATGTACTATTCTCAAACTTTCAATACACGATGGAGTGGACCACCCTGTATAGTTTGGAGTTCGAAAAAAGCGTAAAATTTCCTAAATTTTGATGTATCACACTTATATTAAATATTATTTGTAATACATTAAAATATCTTTATTGCAGACATCTAGGTTTCCATGGCGAACAGCATATGGTAATATTGTTTAAAATGATAATTTTTCGGTTATCTGTATTATTTATTTAAATATCATATGACCTATTTGTTTTATTCACATGAGGTTTCACGTTATTTATTTTTTAAAAATATTTGGAACTAATAAACAATTCCAAATAACCAAGAAATTGTCGTTTTAAACAATCCTGCTATCTTTTGTTCGCCATGGAAACCTAGATGTCTGCAATAAAAATATTTTAATTTATAAAATGCAATGTTACAAATAATATTTAATATAAAAATAACAAGTGATACATCAAAATATAGGAAATTTATTTTACGCTCTAGTGGGTGATCCGTATGAAAAAATGTAGTTTAGGGTCGTACAAGAAAAACCAAACACTCAGTATAATAACCGTGTATCGCGATGGATTCTACATAAAAAAGTACTCTTAAGAAAGATTTTACCAAAATCATCTATTTTAATATTAAGAGAGTTATGGAATATTAAAGAAATCGACTAAATCCGAGAAACACTCCCTAGAGGCCAAACGATTAGATTTTGTTTGCGCCAGTGATTTTCCCCGTTAAAATTGAGAGCCAGGCACCTAGGTTCATGTTTAAATAAATGCACCTAACACCAAAAAATATAGCCCCAAAGCAGGGCCCCGGACTGGACCGAAAAAAAACCGAAACCGGTATTCTTCAAGACCGAAAACCGAACCTAAACCGTTAATTCCTTCAGAAATGGAAACTTATTGAGAACCTAAACCGCTATGCTTTTTTTCGGTTCTTTTCGGTTTTTTCAGCTTATTGGAAATTGATGGACGCGCCGGCAAACACGTCCTGAAAATTGATCAAATATTATTCTATGATTGTAAGTAATAAAAGGAGGAGCGGGGTTTTAGAAAAGATAAAAACAATACTCCCGAGAATACTCCATACATCATATTTTTTACATAAGTTTTTGTGTATTTTTTCTGTTTTTTAATTAATAAATTAAGTTTCCTACTTCCGCCTTTATTCCCCTTGTGTCTTGTCGTTGTAAATTAGCTACCTACTGCACTGACGATATGGCACGTTTTGGTATTCATTACTTTTGACTTAGTCTTCACACTTATGAATTAACACTATTAATTAACAAATTACGTTTTTATAATGAATTTTTTTAATGACATACTTACTAAAAGACTAGAACCGAAAAGAACCGTTATGGACCCAAAAAAATGCGCAGAACCGAAGCATTTTTTTAGAACCGAAATCGGACCGGAACCATTATAAATATTTTCGCTTAAATATAAACAAAACCGGAACCGATATTTCATTTGGGTCAGGGTCCCTGACAGTTGCACTTAAAACATTAGTCATTTGGTAGCAATGAGAAAAATATTGAAAGTTATTTCTTGAGAAAATTTCAACATCAAGACAACTTCTGAATGCCTAATTAAAGATGTGGTTTCATAATTGAAAGCTTTTTAATATTGAAAGATACAGATCTTAAACAACCTCGATGATCGGCTGAACGCGAACATAATTTAGTGTTGGCCAGACCACCCTTTATACAAGGATCACCCTGTATCTCAATGGTTTCCTAACCTTAAAAATATATGTACACTAACCTAATTATAAGACAACAAATCTAATTAACGCAAATGTAATAGTAAATTAAAAATGACTTCAGCTTTGTATTTGGAACATTACTTGGATAGTGAGTGAATTTCTGAATAAAATGTTGTACTTAATATCGCTTTCAAGGTTTAGAACATTTGCCCATAGAACTGCAAAGAAATTTCACTCTAATGAGAGATTTGGATTCCCGCGCTCAAACTTTAATGAAAAATATCGACTCGTTAGCGGATACTTACCTAAAGAATCAAAAGAACCTCAATCAAGAACAGTGCAAGGAGCAGTTGGATAAAATACAAAGTTTGTTTAACAAAGCGAAAGTAAGTACCGGCCCCGTAGACGTAGAGAGAAATTACCGGCCACTTTTAGGAGTACGGCGATGATAAAGTGCAATTAGCGATACAAACCTACGAGCTTGTCGACAAACATATTAGAAGGTTAGATTCCGATCTCGCCCGATTCGAGTCGGAAATTCAAGATAAGGCTTTAAATTTGCGAAATACCGAAGAGAACTCTGTAGGCAAAAGTGAGTGTCCGGTTTCCCTTTAGTTTCGCTTTAATTCCTCCGTTGTAGAAGGACGTAAGAAGATCAAAGATGGCAAGGACAGTAAAAAGAAACGGTCCGGTAATTCCAGCGAGGAGGACTCGACGGGTACAGTGCGAGGCAGTAAAAAGAAAAAGCAGAAATGCACCACGAATACTAATAGCGCAGGGGGTACCGCGCTGAGCAATACGATCTCTGCATCAGGTGAGGGTTCGTATCATTCATCTTCATTTGTTTATCATTCATTTCATCGTCGCCATGAGAACAAGTTTGAGTTGTGTGACATTTCGAGCATTTTCAGTTGTCGACGCAGTTCTGCCAGGTTTAGCCGGAATAACGCATCCGAGCGACGTTTTGGATATGCCCGTCGATCCGAATGAGCCCACCTATTGCCTTTGCCATCAAGTTTCCTACGGTGAAATGATCGGGTGCGATAATCCAGATGTAAATTTAACAATACCGTGTGAACCCCCAGTATTATGTATTTTCATTTTTTAGTGCCCGATCGAATGGTTTCACTTTGCGTGCGTTGGACTTACAACGAAACCAAAAGGTAAATGGTACTGTCCGAAGTGTACACAGGATCGAAAGAAGAAGTAAATTGGTCGTTATTCTTTCACATGCCTAGTTTAAGAGAGTTTATAATTAGTATAGTTTACTTTTAAAGTTTTGTATTCTTATGGGAATGTACAGTGGTTTGTGGTACTCATTGTTTAGCTCTTATAAATAAATTATTGAAGTAATACCTAATTATGTTTATTGTATGTAATGTTTAATTCATTCCCTTTCAAAACAGATAAACGAATCATGAGCATGAGATAGCTATTTTTGTCATCCAGTCCTATAGACGTACGAGTAATTATGCAGTGAATTTTCGTATGTTCGATGCATTAATATGCCTGACGGTTATGCACCCCACCTTACACACAAACTTGACAGCAGTGTAAACAAAAGAAGGCTCCTAATCCGCCATATTGGAATAATTCTAAACTTTCTTATGAAATGCTGCTTTTGTAGTTGAAGTCTAACAAATTCTTGATAGTGGATATTCTATGCAATGATGAAAAGAACGGCGGTACTTAAAAAAATTGAAATATCGGTCTTAGTTTTTTAGGAAGATCAATGAATAGAAAAATCGTTTTTTGTAGATAACAGTCGTTGTAATGAGGGTAGAAAAACGTACAGCACCAATTTGGAAATCCGTCAGTATTTCCTACGGCGGTACTTAAAGATATTATTTCCATCTATTATGATAAGGCATATATTTTAAAAAATATGTTTCGGGATCTTCAGAAAAAAATGAAAACGCTAACGTAAGGATAGGCAACTCAAATTGCACTTATAACGCCTGAGGCGACAACTCATTACTTGAAAGGGAAAACAAAAAAACTATCTGGCATTACCCTATACATTGTTACGCCGTTCCTAATGATATGGATTAGGTAAATTACTATTTATTATTTATTTATTTGAATGCTGTTGATTTGTAAATCATAATGTCACATATTCCCAAGACGAAAAATGGATATCCTATTATAGGTACATTGGAAATAATTTTTTATTTCTAAAACCTTTTGCATCCCATCAGGATGCTTCAAGAAATAAAAAAAAAACCCTAGAATGAGGCTGTAATAATATTTCCCTTTGACGGGGCGGGGGGTACGTACAATACTAGTTTCCTCAGATAGTCCAGTATGCGAAGCAGTCAGAAGAACCGATTTCTGCATAATGTGGTGTAAACGATTTTAACGTTTTAAATGGTCCATTTGGGTTCAAATAACATGTATTTGAAGAGTGCACAACTTTTGGCAGCCAAAAAACCTCAAAACGTTCGGACTTTTTTCAGTTTTTCGCTTAAAACTCGAAAACGGTGCATATTTTATGAATAACACTTCTTTCGTAAATTAAAGAAAACAAAATCCTGCGTCGATCAAAAAAAAAACAAACAAAATCGGTCCAATAGAAAAATTTTGACAAGCGATCAAAAAATAGAAATGGAAATCAGAAACTGTTAAAGATATCTATATAGGAACATGTAATATCAAAATATGCCAATTTCGATTCTCTACCTCATACAATAGTAAGAACGTGGTCATTCCATTTAAAAAACTGAGTTTTTAGACTTTGAAATTTCTTAAATTTGAATCTCCATCATAGGTGTGGTTGTACGCAACTTAACCTTTTTTTAAGTGGACTAAAAGAAAGCCCTCTATGCACTGATAAAAATGGGTTGCCATGACTATAACCGTTTTCAAGTATCAATTATCAAGGTACCATCTGCATCCGCCATTTTTTTTCATCAAGTTAAAATAACTTAAAAACCATAAATGGCAGATATCGACATATGGGTATCAAATGAACTGAAATTTCACGTAGAATCCAAAAATCCAATAAAAAATAAGGGTTGCTATTTAAAATAACGAAGTTACTATCTACTTCCGGTAATTCCGGAAGTGCGGCCACTTTGAAAATATTTTACATCGATTCGGCCTTCAGAGTAACCCCTAGGTACAAATTTTCAAAAATCTACGTATCTTACTTTCCCAGAAACGTTTAACTAAAACTCCCAAAAAAACACCCTGTATAGGAAGCAGCTGCCCTGTGAGCCAGTGTGACGTCCTACATCAACAGCCATCATTAGTCTGGCGAAATGTAGAAATGCTAATAATATATGAAATTTAAAAAAATTCTGCATCGGCCGGGAATCGAACCGGGTAGATCTACTTTGAACCGAAAGACATTTTAGATCGGCGCCCATTGTACGCCTAGGGTCTTTTTTATGTCTTCTGACCCAAGTTCCATGAGTCCCTTTTCCTGTAGATCCTCGGGCAGGGTGGAAATGAGTCCCTTGCAAATGATTTTCCATTTCCAAGTTTGACCATTGTATGTACAGGGTGTTCCATTAATAATGGTCACAGGCGATATCTATGGAACCGTCAATTGCACAGCTTCGGGAAAAAAATTTTGTTAACAAAAGGGGCCGAGAGAAATCGCTGGAAATTATTTTCAATTTCTAGTTTCACCGCTAGAGAGCACACGATTCATGTTTAAATAGAAAAATGATTTTTATTCTAAAATATACCCAACAAGCATGCATAGCAATCTTGTATCAATTTTGCATCATTTCGATGCAGCACATATTGATGCAGCTCATAAAATATGGGGAGTGGGGCCTGGGGGAAAGGGAACATCTCTTTAAGGAATTGAATGTAACTTCGGTTTAGGTTACCAGATTTTCACATAATAGGTCTTTTTGGAAAGATCTCTCTCCGTGGAATCAGATTTTACATGAATAGAGTTTTTTTAGTAAATGTGATGAGTGGTAGAGGGCGCGATGAGACATCAACATAAACTTTGAAGGTTTTTTTGATATAATTATGCATGTATTTTTTATGCATGTTTGTAAGGAATATTTTAGGAAAAAGGTCATTTTTCTACTTAACCATGAATCGTACGCCCTCTAGCGTCAAAGCTAGAAACTTGAAAATAATTTCCAGCGATTTCTCTCGGCCCCTTTTGTTAACAAAATTTTTTTCCCGAAGCTGTACAATTCACAGTTCCATAGATATGGCCTGTGACCATTATTAATGGGACACCCTGTATATATATACAGGGTGTCAATTTTAAAACTTGCAGTCGCCAATATTTTCCAAATTAAAGAAGATATTGAAAGTGGCGCAAAACCGTTTCGGGGGTATCGAGGGGGAACCAGAATGACGTTATGAGTGACAACCCCCCAGCCCTCCTCTTCAAAAATCCTAATAAATGGCAACCCCATACTTGTGACACATCGTTAGAAAGCTACTGAAAAATGCTTTCCAGTGGTACTATAATAAAGTTAATATTCATTAAGAAAATTAACCAAACATTTTATAATTAACAAAAAAAAACTAAATGGCAAATTGGCCAAGAACTTCAACCTGAGCTGCTTCATTAAGCAATCTTGGTTGCTTTGTTTTTATTGACTTACAGTACAGCTGAACGCGTGGAAATAATATTCATTTATGGCACCGAAAATCGATCATCTTTTAGAACAGCTAGAAAGTTCAATGAGAGACATCCTGGGAGAAATGTAAGCCTAGTCTATGTTCAAGATTTGGTCGCTAAATGCGAAGAACCGGGATCTGTTATCAATAAAAAAAAGAAAGCAACCAAGATTGCTTAATGAAGCAGCTCTTTAGAGTCAACAAATGTCGGAAAAAACGTGCAAAAGGCAAAAATAGTGGACACATTTTTCAAGATCCACGAAACGCAAATTTTTGCATCTGGAGCACATTTTTTACTTGTAAAAGATGAAAGGAATCACCGATTTTGGGAGGTTTGAGGAAATTAGAAGATTTTCTTCCACCCAGTGCGCACTTTAAAATTTTAAGAAAGTAGAGAGCGGCCTTTCCTCCGGTCTACATTTCTAACAGGCCGCAATTTTGGAGAAATTCAAGGATAGCTCAAAGAATATTTGTTGCATTCAGTGCGCATTTCGAATTCTTATTACCTACTTTTGGAAAATATCTTGGTTTGCCATGGATCTTTAGTTATGTTATGCTTAAACCTGACGGTGTAAATGGCCATAGCTCTCCTTGCGACCATGTAGGCCGTAGGGTGACATATTCTTCAATTGAATGCAGCTTGTTATTTTGGTTATTGTGGATTATATATACAGTGTGGAAAGTTAACAGCGGGACATATTGAAATAACATGGGAAAATACAATTTCGGCAATTCCTGCTCCCCATTTCATCCTACGGGAAAAATAAAAACATCCTCGGATAGATAATTGAAATATTCATCGGATGACATAAAAATACTCAACTGTGAGGTCTCATGCAAGTCTCAAAATTAAATTAAAAATCCTAAAAATTGGTAAAAACTGGTTGGCCATGGAGTGACGTGTCGCATTTGCTAGGTACCTACTACAACAAATCGTTCCATTGACTATCATCTCACTTCAACCACAAAAGGGTAAATAATTACACTATAAAAAATTGGCCTGTCATCAAACTTAACTGAAAATAAATCACGAACTACAATAATTCCTTCTGTATACTGTAATTTATTATTATTCATGTTGGCGTGTTTATTACAGATGACAATTAGGTAACAAATGCGGTAGGTAAATCATGGCCAACCAATTTTTTACTACCTTTTTGGATTTATTCATTTAGCTTTTATACTTTTAAAAAAGGGCATAGGCACGCTTTTGACACCTGATACCGATTTTAATTATCTATCCGAGGGTGTTTTTATTTTTTTTTTAAGTTAAAATGGGGAGCAGGAATTGCCGAAAATGTATTTTCCCATGCTATGTCCCGCGTCAACTTGCGACACTGTATGTTGTGGATGTGGTTCACATCCCTATCTTGTAGCTAGTCTAGTCGCCGTAGTTGTAAGGTCACTGGTCTGTCAGTGGTGTAGTTTCACAAAAAAATTTTTTGTTAACCGTTTGGCATAAAAACACCGCAATTTAATTATTTATCCATTTGCCAAAATTGCCATAGTAAATCAAAGTATTTTTAACCGGCGAATTAGTGCGAATGATACAGCAAAACCTTTGTTTACATTCTTTATTATGATTAGTCATAACAAATTTAGGTTAAGTTGATTTGTCAGTTCCTAATCAAAATTGAAAACTGAATTTACACCCAAATTTCCGTTAATTAAAAAGATGAAAGTTAGCGTATCGACGATGGCCGATTACGTCTTTACATTAGACGTTTCGGAAGATTTAGAGCTAGAAAATTTCAAGGCTTTCTG